GGGGCGGAGGGGGGACCACCCGCCCGCTGCCTGCGGACCAAGCGCTCCGGCTGCCACCGGGACCCCGGGACCTGCGAGCAGGGCCTCCCTGTCCTGAGCTGAGTCCCCCTCCCCACTTGCCCTCGCACACACACCACCCTTCCGATTGGCTCGGGCGCGCCCGGGGGGCGGGAACAGGCTCACGCGGCGCTTCCACCCATTGGCGGGCGAAGAAAACACGTGGCGGGGTGCGCGAGCGGCCCTCTGGGACTTGTAGTCTTCATCCCGAGGCGCGGCGTGGAGGGGGCGGGGCGAGGTGCGTTTGTGATGCTGATTGACTGGGGGTGTGCGCAGGAGGCGCGCCGGAGCGACGGCGCGCCGCTGGTGTCAAGCGGAAGATGGCGGCGTCCAGGGGAGGCTGAGGGCTCTGGGGAGGTGGTGAGCGGTTTCCGTACAGCCCGAGCGTGCGGCTTGGGGATCCCTTCACTCTGCTTCCTGCTCTCAGGTTTCGCGCGGGTCGTCCTCCCAGGTTCTCGGGCGCGATGTGGAGGAGCTGCCTCCGGCTGCGGGACGCGGGGCGCCGCCTCCTGAACCAGCCTCGGGGTGCCCTCACCGCCTCCGTGGGGCCGGAGCCAAACCCCCTGTCCCCTGCCCGGGCCTATGCCCCCCCAACAGGTGAGGGAGGTCAGAGCAGATTCACTTTTGGCCAGGGATCGAGCCGGGCTAAGGTGGGCTGAGGGGTTTGGCTGTGCAGGGCAGGGTAACCGAGGAAGGATGCAGGCTCATGAAGTTACGCAGTGCTTTCGGGTCCTGCTACAGATGGGGGTGGGGGGAGGGCGAATAGAAGCGCAAGCAAGGGCAGACCGCTTGAGGGTCATTTGGCACGTGCAGCTTTTCTCAGCGCTTATAGTTTTCCTTTCCAGTAAGGAAAGCAGATGGCATTCTTGTTTTCAGACAGGAAAATTTGGGTTCTGGATCAGGACTACCCCAAGGTCACAGAGCAGACTCTGTGAGAAGTTTGTGGAGGGCAAAGATCGGCCTGTTTTCTGTGTCCCGATGGCTGGGCACAGAAGGACCCTGGAACGGGGGCATTCGGTCGGCATTCATCTTCCATCCCGGCCAGTTTCTCTGCGGGTTTCCTGGTCCTCCCTCCCACTGGCCTACCACGATCCCTGCCATTTCTGCTAAGGAGTTGACCCTGATGCCTCCTTTCTCTACTTCTGACTGATAAGGCCTAGAAGAAGGTAGTGGCTTTGTCACTGCTTCTGGGGACAATTTTTAGGGAAAGAGTGGGAGTGACTGCCTTAAATGAGTGAAGAGTAGTAACACTCTCTTTTCATTCAGTTAGTTTTTCTCTGCTGAGAGCTGGAGGCACGGTGGCCTTCCAGGCAGTCGTGGTCTCCCTCTAATGATGTTCACTGTCAACTGCAGGTTATAATAGTCTGATTAAGCAATAGTGTGTAGTATTTTGTGATAAGGGAAATACAAGGAAGCTGGGAGAACATAAAGAAGCACCTGTTTCCACCTCGGGGGTTTTGAGGCTCTAGAAAGGGTCTTGGATGGAAAGGACGTTTCAGCTGAATCTTGACAGATGAGTAGAAGTTCAGTGGAGAGGAGGAGGAAGAGTGTTGGTGGCTAGAACAAGTTCAGAGATGACAGCAGAGGTTGAGGAACCTTGCTGTAATGTTGCCTGCTTTAGAAAATCTAGAACTCTAAGATAGTTTGGCATTGTGGCCGAAGTACAGGTCTGGGGTTTAATGCTGGCTGAACCTGTGAGGTACCGTGTGATATTGGGCACGAGACTGCTTCCTTTGGGCCTCATTTTCCTCTGTGAGTTGAAGGACTAGGTTGCCTTCGAGGATCCTTCTGTTAAGTTTCATAATTTTATGCAAATGGAGAGAGTTGGATGCAGCAAGGAGCTGAGCTTTTTTACCTGTCAGGGTCCAAGTTGAAAGGCCTGGACGTGGGCCATGAAGAGCCAGTAAAGAGGGAAGGGCATCTGTGATATTGTGAGCTCTAAGGAGAAATATACAGTTGGCCATTGAACAACATATGGGTTAGGGGCACCAGCACAACCCCCACCAGCAAAAATTCGCATGTAACTTTGATTCCCCCAAAACCGAACTACTAACAACCTACTGTTTACCAGAAACCTTAGCCATAACATGAACAGTAGATGAACGCCCATTTGGTATGTTATATGTATTATATTCAGTATCCTTAAAGTAAGCTGGATTAAAGAATATTATTAGGAAAATTAAAATAGAATCATAAGAGAAAATAACATGTACTGTACTGTAAAAAAAAATCTAGGTATAAGTGGATCTGCGCGGTTCAAACCCATGTTGTTCAAAGATCAACTGTCTGTACTTGGTTTTCCTGCAGTTCCTGGCACGCATCTCTTAAAACCCTTGTAATTACTAAGCAATAAGACCTACGGAAGAAGCTTTTGTTACGCTATTTGGTCTCTTGTCCTAAAATAGCCTCAGAGATACAAAATCCGGAAGGAGTGTTTTATTCTTAAGGCCCTTTCAACCACACCTGAGGTTATGTTAATGAGGTGGCTTTTGGAAAGCACCTGAGGAGGGTGGGGGGGCTGGTTGCCAGGGGAACCGACCACAAGATTAGAGTTTCGGTACTCTCAGTTCCACCCCGGACCTCTGGGGAGGGGAGAAGGGCGGGAGATTGATTTGATCACTAATGGCCTGTGATTTAATTAATCATGCCCATATAATGAAGCCTCCATAAAATCCCTGAACTGTGGGGTTCATAGAGCCTCTGGGTTGGTGAACACGTAGCGATGCTGGAAGAGTAGCGTGCCCCGAGAAGGCACGGAAGCCCCATACCCTTTCCCCCATAGCTTGCCCTGTGCATCTCTTTGTGTGGCTGTTCCCGAGTTGTATCCTTTTATAATAAGCTAGTAATCTAGTAAGTAAAATCTTTTTTTCTGAGTGCTATGAGCTACTCTGGCAAATTGGAGGGGTCCTGGGAACCTCTGATTTATAGCCAGTAGGTCAGCAGCATAGGAGACCGACCATCTGGGCTTGCATTTGCCATCTGCAGGGAGCCGGGGAATGCAGTCTTGTGGGACTGGGCCCTTGTGGGATCCGATGCTATCCCCAGGCGGATACCGTCAGAACTGAATTGAATTGTAGGACACCCACTGGTGTCACAGAGTTGATGGGTGGCAAAACCCCCACACATTTGGAGTATAGGGTGTCTGTGTGAATGTGTAAAGGAAAACGAGAGTTTCCTTTACAATATCCCAGGAAGATAATGACACAAGCAAAGGGACACATTCAGGAGTTCACTTAAATTGGCACAGGCAGAGGGTTAATTTAGACTCGTGGATGCCACCTCCCACTATGGTGGCCCACGATCCACCATCTCTGCTTCCTTTCTACTGCATACTTTACTAGTTTAGGCTCTTGGAAGTATCTGGCTCGTGGTAGTCAAACATGAAAGAAAACAGGAATGAAAGAATGAAGCCCGGTGGGAGGGAGGTACCTGAAACCAGTCCAATGAGTGCACTGCAAAGACATTACCGGTTTGAGATTCTGTGAGTCTCTGGGATGGCGGAATAGTAAACCCAGGTGGGGGACTTCTCCATGAAGACTTGGTTGGCAAGCAGATTGAACTTGGCTCCTTAGGAATGGCAGTGCCGCTGAAGGGTGTCAGAAGGAGAGGAGGGGTTTGGGAAAGGGTCCCTGGGGTGTTGGAGGAGATTTTGCAGCAAGGAGAGCTGTGTGAGGGTGTGGGGTGGTCCAGCTCTATACTGCTTGTCCGCGATCCACCAGCTCTTCATAGAGGGGGAAGGTGTTCCGGAGAGGCTGCTTGTCTGGCTGAGTGCCATGCCCAGCAAAAGTCCAGGCTGGTGTCCTCTGTTTAAATTGTCACCTGGATGGGGCGCCTGGGTGGCTCAGTCGGTTGAGCGTCCGACTTCAGCTCAGGTCGTGATCTCGCGGTCTGTGAGTTCGAGCCCCGCATCGGGCTCTGTGCTGACAGCTCGGAGCCTGGAGCCTGCTTTGGATTCTGTGTCTCCCTCTCTCTCTCTCTGCCCCTCCCCCGCTCACGCTCTGTCTCTCTCTCTCTCTCTGTCAAAAATAAATAAACATTTAAAAAAAAATTTAAATTGTTACCTGGACAAGTCATTTAGCTTCTCAGAATCTCTACCACCTCAGAGGCATTACTTGCCCTGCCTTTATAGAGCGGCTGTGTTGGGTTGCGGGAGATTCTGTAGACAGAGCCCCTAGCCTGCCACCTGTTTTTGTAAATAAAGTTTTATTGGAACACCGCCATCCTCATTCATTTTCGTATAATCTAAGGCTACTTTCACTGCAGAGCTGACTAATTGCAACAGAGACCATATGGCCCGCCAAGCCTAAAATATTTACTCTGGCTCTTTATGGGAAAAGTTGGCCAACCCCTCCTCAGGATGCTAGAGCAATTGGGAAAAAAACGTGTTTAGTGATTTAGCTCATTTACATTAATTGCTATGGCAGATGTATTTGCCCCGAAGAGTTTTTAAAGTTTATTTATTGGGGGGGGGGGCAGAGAGAGAGAGAGAGAGAGAGAGAGAGAGAGAACCCCAAGCAGGCTCTGTGCTGCCAGTGCAGACCCCGGCGTGAGGCTCAATCCCACGAACCATGAGATCATGCCCTGAGCCGAAATCAAGAGCCAGATGCCCAACTGACTAAGCTACCTAGGCACCCCAACCCTGAAGAAATTTTTTTTAACAGCTTTATGGAGAGACAATTCACTTACAATTCACTCATTTAAAATGTAGAATGCAGTGGTTTCTAGTATCCTCACAGAGTTGTACAGCCATCACCATGGTTCTCGAACATTTTTATCACCCCCAAAAGAAGCCCTTCAGCCATCACCTTTTCCTTCCCTCCCTATCCCTCTAGCCCTAGATAACCACTATTCTACTTCCTGTCTCTGTAGATTTCCCTAGTTTGGACATTTCATAAATGGAATGCAGTCTTTTTGGGGCAGGCTCTTTTTTCATTTAGACTGTTTTCAAGGTTTATCCAAGTTGTAGCATGTATCAGTACCCTCGTGTTTTAATAGCTGAGTAATATTCAGTTGTATGGCCATATCACATCTTATTTCTCCATCCATCTCCTGATGAACGTCTGGGTTGTTAACATCGTTTGGCTATTCCAAATGCTGCTCTAAACATTTGTGTACAAGTTGTGTGTGTGTACAACTTTTTATG